TGCCAGGACTGCAGCTGGCTCCCTACTACTAACTCCTACACCCACTCCAATTGGGTGTCTGTCCTCTTCACTCAAACTGCTTTCACCAAAGTCTCCATTGACCTCATCCTGAGCAATTCTCCAGGACACTGTTTCAACTTGATCTTTTCCGCTCCCTTTTGATACTGTTAATCGCTTCCTTCTCATGGACATTCTATCCTCCACTGGTTTTCATAATACCATCCTTCCCTGGTTTTTTTCCCTACTTTTTGACCAATCCTTCAGCATCTGTTTCAGCAGATCCTCTTCCTTCCCCCCACTGCCCTCTATGGAGGACCCCCATGGCTTTGTCCTGAGCCCCCTCTTCTTTTTCACCTACATCTTGTCATTGGGAGACCTCATCTATTCTTCTGTATGCGGATTACTCTGTTCTAGTGTGGAGAAATAGACTTGTCTTCCTCTGTTCAATCTCTCATCACTCACTGGCATTTCATTGTAGGTGGCCTGCACTCCTTTCAAACTTCATTGCCAAAACTGAATTCTAAACCTTTTTTCCACCCCATCTCCATTCCTGAGCAATACCTCAATTCTTCCTGTCACCTAATTTGCAATCTCCAGGTCACCTTTGATTTTTTTCCACCATCTTTCTCCCTGCACATACAGTCCATAGCCAAGTCTGTCACTAAAATTCTGTCTTTCCTATCTCAGCAGCCAAATCACTTGTCCGTGCCCTAGAATTTGAAGAAAAGATTGGGGGAACATGAACACCAACCACAGGAGGAACTAGAGACAGTGAGCCTCCCTCTAACTTCTTAAAAGTGTATCCTACTTAAAGAGTGAGACATATAGAAATCAATGCAATGAATGGTGATTTAGTAGGTTAATGGACATTTTCCACATAATTCTCAGTGGAAAAAATTGTAAGTAAGACCAATGGTAAGACTACAAACCTACTGTTTTCTCACACACATCCCATTGTCCTCTATATATCCTATCACTTTTTATAAAGGCTAGACACACCTACCATGTTTCAGGGCATGCCCCAATTGCTAAATGATTAGTTAGGAAGAAGCTTCAGCTTTGAGCATTTTATTTCATAATTGTTCACTACAGGGTTTCTTGCTCCATCCTCTGAAGCATTTGGTGATGCTGCTCACTTTGAGTGACTAGACGGTGTGACAAAGCTCTGTCCTTGTCTCCATAGGTCCTGCGTTTCCTGACGGATTTCGCTAGCCTCAGAGGCTCACTGTGACCCTCCACTTAGAGAGAGAGAGAGAGAGGGGGGGGGGGGGGTCACAGTCTACTGAGCCATTTTCATCATAAACCAGCAAGGGAGGTGAGGAGAAGCTATCCTCCCTTGCACAGTCTCTGTTGTCTCCCAGTCTGGTGATTAATCAGGGGGGGAGCCTGGGCCCATCCTCTACTCCAGGCTCCAGCCCAGGGACCCTAATAGTATCAGCTACGGTAGCTGACCTTTTAGGAACAGGACACGTACAATTCCCTGGGCTATTTCCCCACAGCAGCCTCCACTTCCTCAAGCTCTACTTCACCCTTACCTCGGGGTGTGTGCATGCGCGTGTGTGCCCACACAGCTCAGTCTCTCCAACGGCACAACCTCCTCCCACAGCTCCTGGCATGCACGCCCACCTGACTAACTGGGAGGCTTTTAACTGAGTTTCAGCCAGCCCCTGATTGGCTTCAGGTGTCCCAATCAATCTAGCATCCTCCCTGCCTTCTGGAAAGCTCTTAATTGGCCCCAGGTGTCTTAATTGACCTGGCGCAGCTGCCATTTACTTATCCTGGTACCAGGGATTTGTTTAACCTGGGGCTAATATATCTGTCTCCCACTACTTTTCTATAGCCATCTGGCCTTGCCCCGTCACAACAGATTATCTATTGGTGAGAGTATGCTAATTCCTATTTTCCTCTGTCTCCCTATTTCTCCACATCTCTCTCTCCTTTCTTGGCATGATCGCAACCACGGTCACACAGGAGTACTAATTTGGAGTGAGCAGGATCATGCTATTTGAACTATGTGTACAGTAGCTATGGCTCACAAGCAGGCTGGATGTTAAATCTATAACAGTCTCAACATCTGAAGATCTTCTAGTATGAAGATCTCAGCTTCATTGTTTCCAGGACACCACTTACAAAATATGTTAGAAAGCAAATGCAGAATAGAGCCTTCATAATAATTGTTTTCACCTAGCCTCAGAAGAGATGTTTGTTCTTGATTTTTCTTATCAACAAGAAACTGTCATCATTCTAAGTAATGAACATACTTTGGACTTACACAACCTTTCAACAGAGTGTTTCAGGAATTGTTATGTAACTAACATCCTTTGATTCCAATCAGATTAATAGTTCCACAAAGGGTAACTTACTTAAATTGACTTTTAAAGATGAGTTGCAAAAAAACAAACCCTGACACTAACTGAATATAGTGATATGCTGAATTCCTTACATACTAAGGATAAGAGGAATGTTCAGCAAAGTTATTTTGAATGCATCAGCTGCCCAGAAGCTGCATATTATTATATTATTATTCCTTCTCTTCTACAATGAGCTGAGGGGTGAAAACATTATCTATTATACCTGCTATATAAGTTCACTGAAAGAGAGGCCTTTTCCAGACTAGGAGAAAAAGGTGCTTTTTCAATCAAGTTAGCTCAGTCAAGCTATCTTAACTCTATTGAAAACCCCACTTAATACTGTTTTCCCTTTGCACTGAGCAGTTAGCCAAAATTCAGGGACTTGCAGAGTTGTTTTAGGATCAGAAATTGGTGATATGAGTCAGATACAAGCCTTTATGTACTTTTTTTGCAAAACAATATTACACTATGTCTTGTTTCCCTGAACACACTAACAAACCACAGCAGGCAGTTTCTGTTCTCAGAAATCCCCAAGTCTGCCATTCCAGTGAGTACTGTCCCCAAGAAACCATGTCCCTCTGCTTCCATTCAGGGTCATACTTGCAACTCCTTGTCCCATCTGGCTTTTTGTCTCCAACACACATTACCTGCAGCTGATATCCTCACCTAGATCCTGCATTTGCAACCAGGGTTAGCACTCTATACAAATTAGCCCCAAATCCTGTAGCTATTCTTACGACCTAAAGGGGCTTGATTGTCCCATCTTCCTTTTGAGCTTGAAAATGCTTGGCACACCCATTAGGGTCAGGGAGGTCTGAGATGGTCTATGGACCCAAGACTCCTCCACGGGTAGCCATTAACCCCTTTCAGCATAATATGAATATAGGTTTTAATATTTAGGCTCTATCTTGACCTGCAAAAAATCACTATAAAGGTGTCAGACTGTATCTATGTTGGTATTAAGTGGGGTTTTCAATTGGTTTAAACTCGCTCAATTAAGCTAACTTAATTCGGGGGGGTGGGGGTATCTTTTTCTCCTAATCCAGACAAGGCCACAAATAAGCATCAGAGAAGTTAAGTGATGGACTGTGGGGTTTATTTAATATGTGTAATGAGTTTGATGACTAAATTGGGGTACAACAAAATAAGGTAACTAAAACCATTTGGCTTCAGTGGACTACTGGGGTCAGACAACAATAACACATTGCATGATTTTGTTCTACATACAGTAGGAGGCAGATGTGTGATTTGACCATTTTAAAAAGAAATGTAAATTATACATCGAGTGCCCAAATAGTTTATTTTGTGTGTCTTTCATTGTTTATAAACAAATGATCTAAAAGACAGTTGTCAGTACAGTACTTAAATACTTTTCAAACAAACTATAACAGATTATAGGGATTCCAGCTGAGATGAAGCATTAAAAAGGAAATCAGGTGTCAATTTCTTAATGTATATAGAATATCTCAGGAATGATCAAGGAAGATGGGCAGAGAACTACTTCTACTACTGGAACACTACAAAAGAAGGGCCACATGATCTGAGTACCCATTTGCTAAACCAAAATTATGGACAGAATGAAAATGATCTTTTTATAATTCTAGCAAGAAGTGTACAGCTGTGAACCTGAAACTTCCAAATCTCATCTACTAAATTGTGTTTCAATACACTCTCTTCCCTCCCCCTGTATTTCCATTAAGACTTTTTAGGTCATTATTTTATACAGTGCATGCATGTCAATTGTCCATACTTATGCCAGAACTAATTGTTATGCTAATAAGTAGAGGCTTTTATACCATATTATATGTCTAAGAACTGTTTCCAGTATTGTTTTTTTTTAAGAAAAGAAATACCCAAAATCAAACTAGCACTATCTTTTTCTATGCAAATAGTGACACATGAAATACAAAGTAAGAAGGCTTATTCTTACATCACTGTTTTTGTGTTGTTGTTTTTTTAACTGGGGACAAGATGGGGCAGGGAGCCCTTTATGAGCCACGAAGAACGCTGTAAGGGAGTGGGAGGACAAAGACACAAACCGTATAACGTCCGTCTCGATCCATCTTGTTGTACTAAAAATGCAAATACTGAAAGGGGGTTGACCGCAGCCTTCCGCCACGATCTTGTTAGCTGATGGATAGGGGACACCCCACACCAATGGCTTGACTTGACAATTAAGGCTGCAGCTAAATGCTTTTGGGAGGAAAAGGGAGAAGCGACCTCCTACTTCCGCTTTAGTTCTGGTACTGGTTTCACATGCCCCTGGTTGAATGCAAGGCTTCCTCCTTTACAAAAATGAGAACTAGAGAAACCTGTATTCGACCCGTACACTCTCCCAACCCACGACACCCCTGGATATTTGAAACGTTCACACTGTTAAACAATGACCGGGCTCAGTTTATTGCGGGGAACAGTGAACTAGGCTTCTTGGGGAGATTGCGGGTGCGGGGAGAGGGAAACAGCGCAGAGCCAGGTGAGCTCAACCTGAGCCAACCGAGGACGTTGCTGGGCTGTGTGCCGGCTGCAATCGGTGCGTTGCCCCTTTAATTGTGTCCCCAGACCTCGGGCCTCTCTGACCAACGCCCACGTCAGCAAATCCCTTTTGTTTCTGTCGCGTTCGGCCTTTTGCGTGCGGGACCCGCAAAATTGCGTTCAAGTGACCAAGAGCCCGGGGAATCCCGCACCCACCTCCAGCTCCTCCCCGGCCAGACAGCAGCAGCAGCCGGTAAGTGGCGGCTCCGCAGCCGGGCGGGCTGGGCGCTGGGCGCTGAACTGGCCCCAGCCCGGACAGCGGCTGGCTCTGCGGACCCGAAGCGGGCGGCCAGGCGGGCGCTCCCAGCCCCAGGCGCTCTCCGGAGCCGAGCTTCAGCCCCGAGCGAGCCGCGCTCGCAGGGAGACCCAAGCGGGCGCCATTTGTAGCCCGGGCGCTGCTGGAACGGGCCGGGACTGGCAACAAAGGGCTGGTGGGGAGCGGGAGCGCGGCGGCGAGTGCGGGGCGGGAGAGGCGGCGAGGCCGCTGCGAAGGGGGACGGAGACACGCGTGTAAAGCGCAGGACGCTGGAGGCCAGGCAGGGGCTGCTCGGGCCGCGGCGGGCGGCAGGTCCCGGGCGGAGCCGCACCCGGGAGGCTGCGGACAGCGGCGCTGGCGCGCCGGGGATGGGGCAGCCCGGTCCCAAGGCGCCTGGCGCTGGCCCGCTCCCGGGCACGGATGCTCTGATCGGGCGGCAGCGCCTGCCGTGAGCTGGGATTTCTCGTCTCGGTGCCCTCATCTCAGGCAGGAACGCTAGTGAACCGTAACCCCTACAGCTGTTACAAGGAGGGTTCTTCTTTCCCCCTTGCTGAATCTGTCACGGGTTTTTGAAAGTTTTCACTGAGTTTTGCTCCGTTTTAGGATAGAAATGCGCTGAGCCGGAGCATCCAACTGAGGCGTCTCATCTGCTCTCTCAAAATAGTCTCGCTTCTCTCTCCCTTATGCTAATGCGGGCTGAGCCTTTGGGGGGAAAAAAAGACTATATAGTCTCATTGTATCCTTTTATTAAAGAAAAATGTTTTTGAAATTGTCCAGCAACTTTGGTGTCTATGTAGCATGTCAAGATTGTCATTATTCTTTATTGTAGAGCAACGCTTCCTGTTTACCTTCTTTTTGGAATGGAGATTTCTTCCCATCAATTTCATCTCCTTCAGCAACTCAATGAGCAGCGCCAGCAAGACTTATTCTGTGACTGCAGTATCCTAGTTGAGGGGAAAGTCTTCAAAGCACACAGAAATGTGCTGTTTGCCAGTAGTGGTTATTTCAAAATGCTCCTTTCCCAAAGCTCAAAAGAGACTAGTCAGCCAACCACAGCTACGTTTGACGTCTTCTCTCCTGATACCTTCACAGTTATTCTGGACTTTGTATATTCAGGAAAACTCTCTCTGACTGGTCAAAATGTGATTGAAGTAATGTCAGCTGCTAGTTATCTGCAAATGACAGATATTCTTAGTGTATGTAAGACCTTCATTAAATCCTCACTGGAGATTAATGAAAAAGAGAAGGATCACTACTTCACCCTCTCAGCCAAAAGAGTCAACAGTAGATTTGACTGCCCACCTTTTTATAGATCAAGAAGAAAAGTTAAAAGCAACCCCATCAGTTCTCACTTAATTCCAGATCAAAAGGCAGGCATGGTGAATGAAAATGCCTGGACCAATAACAGGAACCACTCATCTTCACAAATGAATGTCCAACTGCAAGAAACACAGTTATCCAAAAGAGGCCAAAAGCTTGGGTCGGTGAAAAAGCGCCAAAGGCGTCTAGGACTGTCACAGTCCCATGCCTTTCTGAAATATAAATCAAACAAACCTGATGAGGCCAGTGGAAGTTGCAGTGCTTCAGAGACTAACCCCATTTCTCAATCCAAAGAGCAAATTCAGTTTGATACGGAGAACAACACTGCTCATACTGGGTACCGATGTGATCAAGAATCAAAGGTGATACCAAAGAAATGGTCTGTTGCTCAGCTGGAACAAGAACTTTCAAGAACTTCCCCTGTGTATATGGATTTAAAAGCAGATGAACTGTATACCTCTGTGCCCACGATTCTAGGTGTAATGGGTGGTTGGAATGAAGGTAAGAGAAGATATTTTATAAGGTGTTTGTCTTCAGACTTTTCTCAGGGTTCTCTTGGAAAAGATCCTGGGTGTCTGCAAAACCTTGGAAAGACACAATCATGTGTATATGCCCAAACTTTAAGCTTCATTACACTTTCTTAATTCAGTATAACCCCTAAGGAATAAGGAGAGAGAAGCAATATAGCCTAGTGGGTGGACATCTAGACTCTGAGCCGGAAAACTTGAGCTAGATCCTCAGCTGGTGTGACTTCCATGGAGCTATGAGACATTTTACACCAGGCTGAGGATCTGAGCTCTAGTTTCTACTCCTGGTTCTACCACTGATCTGCTGTGACACCTCAGGTAAGTTACTTCATCTCTTTGTCCTTCCCCTCTTCCTCCCTGGCTTTCTGTCTTGTTTATTTAGATAGTTCCTGCTCCAAAGAGCTTGCAGTCTTTCATGCTAATGTACCTATAGCACAATGGAGTCCCAACCTCGGTACCACTAGGTGCTACAGTAATAGCTTGTGCATTTAAGTTATTAGACCTAGATCCTTCATATACTTGCACATGAGTAATCTTATTCACTTCAGTGATACTGTTCAGGTGCATAAGTGTTTGCAGGATTGGGTTCAAGGAGGTTTACTGTATGCAATCAATGGTAGAGATATTAAGTACAGTATAAGAAAGCAATCAGTGTGACCAAAGAAATTAACAGCAATTTGCACTAAGCTAGAATTGCATTATTGATGATCCACATGAAATACTTACTATTAAACATTTGAAGTCTATATTCATTCATATTGCATATATTTAAGAAATTTTGCAATTCACAATCATTTGCTTTTCAATAATTCTGATGGCAAAAGCTACTGAAACCGTTGAAGGTTCAGAAGTGTTCCTCAGTGAGTTACACTGCAGGAAATGTCTTAAACATTAGTAAAATAAGGAGTACCCAATGGGAGAGGGAAGAGAAGAGTTCTGTATATTCATGTGTACAATACTGAAAATATTCACAGATTAAAGGGGAAACAAAACAAGTTGGTTTAAAAAACAATAGGGTCCTTATGACTAAAAGTCCATATTAACCGCTGTGGCTGTAAGAGCGCTGTGACAGACTTAAATCTGCTTCGATCTGAGTCACAGCTGTGCCTAAAGGAAATGTAGAAAACTGCTTAGTATAGTTTAGTAGTAGCATGGTGCACCATCACAAGTAAGAACCAGACTGTAGTCTTGGGTTTAGCCTTTTCCTGAATTGGCATGGATTACCATTACTCCAAGTGAGAAGCACCACATTAGCCATTTAGCTGCTTCTGTCTTGAATGTCAGGCAGATCCCCTCTCCATGTAAGGCAGAGAGGGATTGAATGTGAGTCTCCCACATCTCACAAGTGCTCTTGCCACTGGGGTAAAAGTTATGATAGTTATCTTTCCTCCCACCCCCAGGAACTATTTGGTGAATTCATGTCAAATATGTGAATAATTTCAGGTTGACAAACTACATTTTTTGACAAACTACTCCTATGAATAAAATTCGGTCAGCTCTAACTGGTAGCAGCCTACTTACTACCTAAGGGATTGCCTCTCTCTCTCCATGCCATACTGCAACTGCTGTGGTCATCAAAGGTGCTTTGGCTACACCTTCCCTTCCCCCTCTCCCCCCCCCCATTATAAAAGAGAAGAAATGTGGTCTCTGTGAGGGCTCAGACTTAACTTGCTTCCCCACCCTTGGTCCAAAATAGTCTGAATTTGATGCCTTTCTGGATATACTGCAAAAGACCTCTGGTTAAGAGGATTTTTGGAAAGGCTTAGAATATGCTTTCTTGAGGAACAGAATAGGTGGCTGGCAGAATTTTGTAGAATTTATTTTAATGCTGCTGAGATCTAATTGTATTTTTTGTGTACATTACATGAAGGCACCTTGAGTCTTGGAATGATGTCTTTATTTTAAATTAAACAAATATTCATCTGGTTTCTAAAACATTACCTGAAGCAAGAATCCAATATGTAAGCATCTGAAAACTTATGCATGTTAAGACACCTTCTGTATGGATGTAAATAACCTAGTTTAGGGTCAGTCTGTCTAGGACAGAATCCACTATCTAAATCAGTTCACCAAGTATTTGACTTTTTACTAAGTTGGAAAAATTATGCAGTGGGAGAGGAGGAGGGTTGCAGTTGTGGTTTGGGTTCTTTTCTCTCAAGTGACAGATTATAGGAAAAGCTAACTTTGCTTCAACAAATTTGTGTCTAGGGAAGAGACTATTGATGTTTACCTAACAAATAGGATTTTCTCTGTAACAGATCTACTTAAGATGAGATTCAAGTGCCCCTTCTGCACCCATACAGTGAAACGGAGAGCAGACATGAAGCGGCATCTTCGATGTCACACAGGGGAACGACCCTATCCGTGTGAGGCATGTGGGAAAAAGTTCACAAGATTAGAGCACCTACGTAGCCATTTCCAAACAGTATGTCATTTGCCTAAAGACTGGTTTTCTCAAAAAATGAAATTTATGTTGGCAACAGCAGTTTGTTACCCAGAACCAGCCTCAGAGAGTCACTCATCTTACTGCTCTTCAGTGGCCTGTATAAAATAATTTAGCAGTCTCACTTGTCTCAGTTAGGAACTGGACAAGTGTCTACATCACAACACTAACCATCAAATTTACCATTAAAATTAGCACCTTTGGTGGTAGCGTAACCATGGCTTTTGGGGTAAAGAGACCATAGAGCCTGAACTTCTCTCTCTTGTCCCTAAATGTTAAGCTGGAGGAGGTCTTCTGGAACAGTGAAAAGAAACTTGCATTGTAGCTCTATGTGCTGCACCTGTTATGTGCACAAATAGGACTTTGGTCTCAAAACTTCTTCTTCAGTGAAGACAAGTGCCTTTTACATGTAAAGTAATAGGATTTCGAAACAACTAACACTATAACATAGCATTTTCTAAAAAAAACCTTAAGCAGTATTTAAAAGAAAGGGCCATAATAAAAAGCACAACAGGTACAGTTTAGAAAAAATGGTCTTCAAATGACTGAGATTGAGTTGTGTTGGAGAACAAAGTAGCCACAAATTGGTAGCAGATTAAAAGCTGGGTTTTTTTTTGCTACTGAAGAGTTGGAAAATCAGGTTTGAAGTGCTGAAATAATAGTGTGGCATTTCTATTTCTTTTTTAAAGTATCCCATCTTTATTTGTCTTGGTGCACAGATACACCATGCCTATGTGAATACCTGGAACCAGTTAGTAACTTGGTTTCCAGTTTAAATAAGAAGATGGTTGTACACCTCTACCTTGATACAACGCTGTCCTCGGGGAGCCAAAAAAAAACAAACAAAAAAAACTTACCGCGTTATAGGTGAAACCACATAATATCGAACTTGCTTTGATCCACTGGAGTGCACAGCCCCGCCCCCCCAGAGCACTGCTTTATTGCGTTATATCCGAATTAGTGTTATATCGGGTTGCATTATATCGGGGTAGAGGTGTACCACAGAAGCAGTGCATTCTGTCCTAGTTGTGCCTTTTGTTGCATAAACACCTCGGGGTAGAAAAAAAGTTTTCCCCTTATGATAAGCAGATACACAACTAATAAAGTATAAGACTCTAAGAAACTACAAGATGAAAATTAATCAAAGATGATGATCCAGTGTACTTGTACTAGAGACTTTATTAAATAAATCAGTACAGATGTGTTGGTTCTTGCTCTAGAAGTCTCATGCTTATAATCCCCTTTACTTAGTTTTAGGGTGATCTAATGCATTTCTCGGTTTATAAAAATATTACTGTAGATGTTTTCTCAAAGAAAAAAAACATTCTATTAATCCTTCTTTAGATGAAAGCTGATATTTTCCATTTTAAATCTCTATAGATACATCAAGCTGGCAAACTAATCTGCAGAAAATGTAAGAATCATGTCACTGACCTAACAGGACATGTGGTTCAACAAGGAACAAGGCGCTACAGACTATGTAAGGAATGTCTAGTTGAAGCAGGTATTGACAGCATTCGTGATGACTTAGACGCAGAACATCCTCTTACTATCTCTCTAGGAGACAACATTTCTGGGTGGCACCTGGATGAAGAGCACAGATCAGATGTAGAGATGGTGGAGGATGAACCTGATAAATTTGTTATCCAACAAGTTAATGATGATAGCACAGATGAGACTGAAGAAAAAGTGAAACCAAATCCTAGATAGTTGTATTTGGAGTGAAATCTACTACTGCTCATCTCATCGCTGACTTACTATGTCTTGCCAGTTGAGACAATGATCTACTTAATTAATAGATCCTTTTTAACAATGCTGTATGGGAGCAAAATAAGGCCTACAATCTAATGTGCACATAGTTTCGGACATTCCTTTGTGTCCATAGGAACTTCTTTCCAACTACATTTTTTTGCTACAATGTAAAGATCCCTGAAAATTGGCCAGAAACAACTGAATATCTAGAGAGCTATTAACATGACTTATTTTATGGTAAACCAAAGACCACCTCAAAGTTCCTGTTTGAATGAAAGCGTGAACCATTTTCCTTCCTTTATTTCAAAGCCTTTGTTAAACAACTTTGTTCTAAGATATTCCAATAATCTAAAGGTATTTCTTCATAGGTTTAATGTTCTGCCAGCTGCATCAAAGAACTACTGAATCAGTTACTATGAAAACACTTACTAAAGCCAGTAGTTAACATAATACATATTTTCTGTAAATACTGTATTTAACCTATGTACACTTATGAAAAATTTACATTTGATACTTGTAATAAAACTTACAACTAATTAGACTCTGACTAATCTGTTTATTAGAGTAGCATTTTCTCAAATGCTACCCTTTACTAGTTACAAGAAAAAGCATTTTAAAGAATATCTATATAGAGTAGGTTACTGAACAGAACAGATACATTTGGATGGAATGAGTTTGCATCCTCAAATGAACAACATGATTCACACTACTGAGGGTTTTTAATTTAGACTACCTATAAACAGAGTTGCTTTGAAATAAGAATATTAGAAGTGCAATCTTTACAAAGGGTTTATTTATTTATTTATTTTTAAAACAAAGTGTTCAGGACTTGCATTAAACTGCTAAAGGGGATTGGTTAGGCATGATAGGGGAGATTTTCAGGCACCTACAATTTAGGAACACAAGTCCTATTTTCAACTGGGCTTATGACAAATCCTTCATGCATATTTGGAAGTCTTTACTGTGTTCAGTGTAACAAAAAACACAGTATATTAAGTATAGTGACAAGTGAGACTGAGGGCTAAAACATACAAGTTTAAAATACAATTAAATTTTAAAATTTTTGTAAACAAATACAGATCATACTTCAAGAATTTGATTTGACTACACAAGGTGAATGGCAGTACAGAATTGAGCCCCTAGTCTACGTTGCTGAGCTGCGTGAAAGGCAACTTTCCCTGTTCCTGGATCTGTCTTTTTCATCCTTAAGAACCATCTTTGTAGAATGCTCAATCATGTGGACTCAGCAAAACCTTTAGATCCTAGAAACACGGAATTCTTAGTGCTCACTGCTACAACACTTCAAAAGGGAAATGCAAAAAAAACACTGGCAGTGGCAAATGGGGGGGGCTCATGAGTGGAGAATGTCAGCCTTATGAAGAGAAGCCACAGCTCTCTCCCATACCCAGTTTCTAGTTTTCTCTTTTCTCCCAACATAACTGCAGGAGAACAAATGACTTTCATGAGTTATTAAAGGTAAACAAAAGGTTCTTGAACAAGCTTTGAAATAAGAGGCTATAGACTAAGTAGCAATAATGGGCCTGATTCTCTCCTGTATCCCAGCCCCCTTCACACTGCTCCAGTGACAGCAAACCTGGCAGAAATAGCCTTTAGAGAATTACACCCTGCCTGCCCCAGAACAGCTCTGCCACTATTTCCTTATAGCCCCGAGTGTAGGAAATGTCAGGACAGAGATGGAGTGTAGCCAGAGCCTATTTGTGCTGTGGTTATCATCAGGCAGTGAATTGCCCCATGGGGCATGACTATTCTCAGCCTCCAGCTGCAATAGATATGAGATTGCTAAGTTTCAACAGGGGCTGAACAGGCCTTCAGACAGTCTAAGAGCTAGTCTACACTAGAAGTGCTGCAGCTGCGCCACTGTAGCGCATCTGGTGAAGACACTATGCCAACAGGGGAGAGCTGCTCCCACCAACATAGCACTGTCCACACTGGCACTTAAGTCAGTGTAACTTACACCACTCTTGGGGTAGGAGGGCTTATTCACACCCCTGAGCAACATAAGTTATACCCACATAACCTGTAGCATAGGCAAGCCCTTAGAATACGAGTGCACGTAGAATTTAAACTTGTTTTTGGGATGTCCATTCATTAAGGCCTACATACTTTAAACAAGTATTTAAAATATAAATTGGTTTGTTTCTTACCTACCAAAGTCCAAAGTTTTACCCAGCAAGTGTCACACCTCCTAAAAGCAAAGCATTTTTTCCCATTACTACAATAACAATTTTATATAGTATCTTTTTCTCCATTGTTGATACCTGTTAAAATTAAAAATAATTTCTTTGTAACTTTCATTTAACTGTAAAAGTGTTTTCAGAGTATGTTACACTTCCAGAAGAGACTTGAAAATATCTGAAGTTGAGGTGAAAAGACACATAAGGCTGTTCTGAACCCAAGGAGCTGCAAATGTGGTTCTTACCTACATTAGCAAATTTCTTATCCATTGTTCAGCAAGGGTGCAGCTGCTCCTATGCTACCAATGCATAGTGCAATATAGACCACATGTATGCATATTTTTAAAAAACTGTATCATCAAATACCAAAGTGGCTAGATTTTATGGAGGGGCAGAGGAGACCAGTGCTAAGATAAGTGAATAAAGGGGAGAGAAAGATAAAGCATGTGAGGTTCAGAGTAAATCAGTAGAAGGCTTTGAAATCAGGATCCAAAATTAGTCAATGGGGTAATTTCATTGCAGTAAGTAGATGGAGTTACTTCATGGATGAGTGGGGCCTCAGAGGACATTTTTTCCCCCATTATGCACTGAAACAGATGATCTAGTAGTATCTGTGAGGAGTATGGAGTTACATTAAAACAAGTGTATGAGAAAGTAGACAGAAGCATTCTGCACAAGCTGAAATCTATTAATCAAATCTATAGTATCTGTAAATGCATGAACCATGCTCTTTTCAAATATGCAGCCTTCCCAAAAGGTAATGGATATATTTAAAAATAAATATGGAATACAATTAAAAGTATGCCCCAAAATAAAAAAAGTGAGACACCTATTTATGTTTGTAGACACATTATGCTTTCTCTAGTCTGAGCAGGAAACTTCTATTCCCTCCCCCCCCCCCCCAAATAGAGCATTCCTTTTGCATCTAAACTATTTTTAAAAAGTTTACTCACATTTTTAACTACCAGCTTGTAGATGTAAATATGTATCTAACAAAATGAAACATGTGTAGTCATTTGTCATTAATAAAATCAACTACTTTTATTTTAAAATAGTGACTTTTCATAGCTTTCAATTCTTTACAGATAATACACTGACAAAAGATTTTTTTTAAAAATTATTGCTATATTGTACTGTATACATATTTGAATTCCTTTCAAATGTATTTTAATAAATATGGCATTATGAGTGAAATATAAATGGGGGAAAAGATGGTCCTATAATATTAAAAAGATAAAACAAATGTCAAATTTCACCCACAAGCACAAGCCCTTCATCTGCAGAGGAGCCACATATGCAGCAATGAGGTCAGCACTTTCCACCCCAACCCCACACACCCCAACCCCATCCCACCACCACACACACTAAAAATTGTTCCAGCAGCACTGGCCTCACCCCCACCTCCCTCATTCTCACCTCTAGCCCCATCACAGGCCAGCCCTTGCCACCCTGCCTCCTCTATCCCCTCAGGAGGGGCCCCCAACCTCCCCTACAGGGCCTTCCGCTCACGCTTCACTGCTGCTGCCCCTTTAGCTTTCGGGACCACGCTACCCCCCTCATGCCAAAAATCGACCCCACATGCCACAGCCAGCCCCACCTGAAACTCCTTCACGCGCCAACGGGAACTGAACCTGACCCGCCCGAGGTTGCTCTCGTGACAGAATCCCAACTTGAAGCACCATTGGCTGAATACAGCCACCTGACAGCCAATGGGAAGTTGGGCTAACTAGATTAATCTGACTGATTGACAGCCACTTGGTCCAATAGAACTCCTTCCTGATGAGATGCCTTGAGTGGGCGGGACCTGACCCGGCACTCAAACAGCTCTGTGGAGTAAACAAAGCTTCACAGAGCTTCCCGCTGGCCCCGTGTCAACGCCACGCTGCTACTGGCTGAACAAATCGGCGGACCATTTTTGCCCAATGGGGTGATGAGTTGCCACGAGGGAGGGACAGGGGCTGGCTTGGGCGGGAGATTGTCCCTGTTCACGCCTTGGCCTTCAGACAGGTGTGTCTTTTGGTTCCACTCTTACGCTATAAACCCTCCCGACCAACCCGCTCTCTGGCTCCACCCCACCAGCCAGCATTGGCCTAGCAGTGTCCAGATTCCCTCACAGCCCAGGCTAGTTTCCCCTTCCCTCCCCCCCACTGTACTCTGTCTTACACACCCACCTCATTCATGATCATCAGTTCAACTAGTTGTCAGGCTCGCATGCGTTTACCCCCTCCACCCCTCCCAGACAAACAGGACATCACCCCGCTGCAGCCAGCTCTGGGGTGAAGGGCAGCAGACAGCCAACACAACTGTACATCTTGCAACAGCCTGAGAGAGGGGTAGTTTAGCCAATATGTCATTGCCCACATGTAACAGTTGCAGAGGGTCAACTGGAGAGAGAGGGAAGGAAATTGGTGGTGGTATTTTCCCTACTCCACCTACAAAACTAACCCTACCACTCTGTCTTACCTCCAGGAGATGCTGCTCTCAGATTGTTATAACACCTGCACAATTAGGTCAACTTTATTTTGCACTATACATACAACTAAACTGAAGAGATTTTTAAATGGACACATGGCACAGTAACATGATTGTAAGAAAACCCATTCCTCCCTTTAAGTCAGTCTTAAGTGAAACATTTTAAAAGAAAGCTGCTTAAAGTGGGCAGCCCTTTCTACACTTTGTAATTGTTTTCTCAAAATACAATGGAAGAATGGAAGGGTACTGAACACAATATTAACCTTTCCTAGTTATAGTACGATAGACGCTTCCTTTTTGAGGTAGTGGGCAGTTTGGTTCGTTAGGGTGACAATGTCCCAATTTTATAGGGACAGTCCCGATGGTTGGGGCTTTGTCTTATATAGGCAACTATTACCGCCAACCCCAGTCCCAATTTTTCACACTTGCTGTCGGGTTACCCTAGTTCTGAATGTGCTATACTGAGCCAAACTTAGAGACAGCTGCAGAAGAGATGTTACTGATACCAGTCTGTGATTTGCTCCTTCCCTTTTCAAAGGTCCCAGCCCTTATGCTGATAAAGGAGAGCTCGTAAGCGGTCATTAAAAAAAAAAAAAAAAAAAAAGCTAATTGTCTCGTATGGATCCCTATATGCAGTAATGTTCAAACAGCAAAGGACCATCACTCGCACAGTTAATTTGTATACTACTGTGAAAGATATAGGTCCCAATTCTAGTTTGCCCTAAAGCTCCTTTCACACAGCTCTGGCAGAGTTGCTGCAAATAAAAAAAACTCCACAAGCTGTAGTTATTCTTTTTCTCCTCCCCACTACCATACCCACAACCATCCCTTGCTGGTAAAGGCCAACCCAAAATATATCTTGGCATTTAAAGAAATGCCAAGGAACCTTCCACACTGTTTACATGCAAGGGCTCAGAACTGTGTAGCACAATGAAGAAAGGTGAAGTTTGAACACCTTTCCTGCAGAGAAGTGTGTGTAGTCAGAGTTTGCCTCCTGCATTGTCCGACGGTGGAGGAACGTTCTGTACTGTTTCTACGGTCTTGTAAGAAGAAGCAGCCAGTTTATTGACTGCTATCACTGGAACAGGAGAGAAGTGCCCTTCGTATTCCAAAATCTAATTATTCTGGGACATGCAGATCCTAATAGGCTCCCTTCTACACCAGAAATGCTGAATGCAGCCTCTACTTGTGGGAAGGGCACAAGGAAACATTAGTACTGAACTACACACTCACATGGACACATGCTTCATTACACCAGTATTCTATAGAGATCCAGCACCACCTAGTGGCATCTTTTCATTTTAACACAGACATGTCGAAAAGGATTTACCATGTTAAAAGTCATTCATTAGACCAGACTAGCAGCAGAGATCTCAGGGTATGTCTACACCCCAACTAGACAGTTGTGGCTGACCCATGCCAGCCAACTCAGGCTTGTGGGGCTGTTTCACTGCTGTGTAGACTTCCAGGCTTGGGCTGGGGCCCAAGCTCTAGGACCCTGTGAGGCAGGAGGGTCCCAGAGCCTGGGCGCCAGCCTGAAAGTCTACACAGCAGTGAAACAGCCCCGCACCCAGAGCCTGAGTCGGCTGGCACAGCCCAGCCGTGGGTTTTACTTTGTTGTGTAGACATACCCTCAGAGGCTTTAAATAAAGTGAAACAGAGATGCCACTTTGGAATGAGCAAATTAAAATCTATATCATAGCAGCACAAAACAGAGGAGAGGTAGTTTCTCTAAAAGAAGGCAAAAGTGTGCAGATCTATTACAATCTAGTCTTCTCCCCCTCCTGCTATCTCAATAAAATATATATTTTGGCTAATAAAAATAAAATAACCCCCTTTTGATTTCCCACACCTACATTCAAAAATAACCCAGTACCAATGCTGGCCTTTAAAAATCAATATAAAGTATTAGCGCTACCGAGAGACTCCCTACAAATCCCTTTCTTCTCACCAGAGAAACCTAGCTCTCCTTTCTAGATATGCAGTTCCCAGCCTGGTTCACCATCCTCAGAGTAAAATCATAGGTGGCTATTCCCTGTGGTTCCTCCTCCCAGCTGATGGAGCATCTTATTGGCTCCAAGTATTACAATACATTTATAGCAAATTTTTTCCATTATTTCCAGACAGATGACAGAGTCTGTGTGGGACCTTTGCCAGCACTGACAAGCATTCACTCCTTTCAGCAGTTCTCTTCTTGTTTTATATATCAATGATGACAAACACTTCTGGAGTCTCTTCTTCATAGATCTGCATTGCTGAATAAGTTATTGCCTTGACCTCAGTACCCTGGAGGGAATAGGCACAGGAAATTAGAGTGCGTAGACCATGAGCCCCAGCAGTGGCTCTGCATGAATCACAGCAATACATGAATATTCACAGACTTCCTGGGAATGGCTATTCAGTTTACAGTAGTTTTCAAACTGGGGTATGTGTACCCCTAGGGGTACGTGAGTTCTCGTCAGGGGGTACATAAGAAAAATCCTGTAATGGCAGACACATTTTATTTAGTACAGAGATTTTCAAACTGTGTGTGTGGGGGGGTGCCCCCTAGGGGTGTGTGGAAGAACGTTCGGGAGTGAGCGGCGACACCAGGTGGCTTGGGCCAGCGATGCCAGGCAGCTCAAGGAGGGAGTGCCACCTCCACCCGCTGACTGACCTCCGTGAAAAAAAAACTTCTAGAAGCTGTTGCTAAATGGAAGGAAGAAATTGGGGAGGGGCACATGATACCACACACCCTCCCCCACCTATGTCAGATGGGGGCATGCAGTATACTACATTATTTCGAAAGGGGTACAAAGCCTAAAAAGTTTGAAAACCGCTTAGTTTAAAAATAAATATATCTATCTATCTATCTATCTATCTATCTCCTTCCCCAGAAGCACAGCTGTGCTACATTTGTTATGAGTGCAAAGGTTGGGACATCACCATGTAGTAACTGGTCTAGGTCAGTGACTGATGGGAAAGTAGCAGAACAAAGTTACTTCCTGCATAGCATGAACTCCCATCTCCTAGCCACAACAGAACACCACAGTTTGGGTGATGTGAGAGGTGAACAGGAAGGATTATATTAGTTTATTACAGACTCTCTAGAGAATTTACAAAAGAGCACCCTAATAACTAATGCCAGTGTAAGCCCCCTGACTTTGGATTGGTTTGCATTTCACTGGCTCCACAAGACAACTGACTTCTCACTGCTGCTAGCTGGAGTGTCTGGGTGATGACTCGTAACAGTTTCAGGAGCGCTAATTGCTGCATTCACAAATGGCCGTTAGTGAGCTAGGGCTTTGGTATCAGAGGCAATACTGACATCTAATTACACAGAAAAGTTTGTAACTGGCTCTCTTAATAACTTGGGAGAAAAGCCTTTGTCATACCCATGAGACTGTAAGACGCAGAGCAATTGTTACATACCTGAGGGTGTTTGGGTAAAGAGAACTCTTCCCCCCACCTTAGGGAACAAACAAAAACAAACAAACCCACAAATAAGTATGAAGAGATTGATGAAGCTTTGGTTTAATTCAGCAACTACCATTGCTGGAATCACTAGTGCAAGAGAGACACTTAGCGGAAATCCACTTTATGGTAAACGTCAGATTAACTCTCCTCAGTAGTTCTCTCATAGCAGAACAATTGAGGTGGTGTGGGGATAGAGAGCTGAGCCATCCCAGCATAGATGCTAGTTATTTGTACCATGCTTGTTTAAATATATAAAAAGCCTCCTGTTCCAGGCTCTAACCTCTTGGACAATTTTACAAGCTATTAACAAAACAAAACAAAAAACGGTAAGTAATTCAGGGAACAACATACTACACCCTCTCTAGTAGTTAAAACATGCAACTCCCACTGTAGGGGAGAGAATGGCACACCATCCCTTGATGGAGTCTGTGTGCCCCATGGAGGGGAATTTGCCTTTTCCAACTAATTGCTGGAAAAGTCACTCCCATAAGCCAGGGTTGCTAGGAGAGATGTGGATGGAAGAGAGGAAGCATGAGCCAGTGGTTAGGCAGCAACCCATGACATAAAAGAACTGGGGTGGGGCTCTACTACAGAATTCCTGTGTGACCTTGGGCAAGTCACTTAGCCTCCCACAGTTTCAGTTCCCTCACCTGTAAAATGGGGATGATAGCACTTCCACACCTCACAGGGGTTTTGTGAGGATAAATATGTTAAAGCCTGTGAGGCACTAAAAATAAAGGAGCCCAGAGAAGTACTTAAAATAGATAAGAGGAAGAGGAGAACAAAGCCCATTTTCCTTTCACTTATGCATTAGAGATTCACTCTTTCACAGTTTCCCTATACAATCCTCCTATTAAAAAGGATTCAAGTTATTCTGGTCCTTCCAAGTCTCCTCATGCAAGTACAATACAGGCAGTGTATGGTCAACTACAAAACTGAAAAGCTAATCCTCCAATAAATCCACCGAATCAACAACCCCATCAGAATGTAAATGCTATAGAAATTCTCCAGTGGGAGTGAAACTAGGCATCTATGGCCTTGTCTAGACTATGGCCACATCCACACCAGGAAAATGTATTAACTAACCATGTGCTAACAGCCTAGTCTTAATAAGGCTGCTATAGTTCAAACATTTTAAACTGGTCAAGATAAAACCTAGCGGGGAGCGTAGGGTTTAACTCCATCAGGTTAACATGTTCTGAAGTACAATTGCTTTGTATCAATTAGACTTTTAGGGCTGGTCCACACTAAGCCCCCAGTTCGAACTAAGATATGCAACTTCAGCCACGTGAATAACGTAGCTGAAGTCGAAGTATCTTAGTTCGAACTTAAAGGTACTTACCACGGGTCCACACGCGGCAGGCAGGCTCCCCCGTCAACTCTGCCTACTCCTCTCACGGAGCAGGATTACCGGCGTCGACGGCGAGCACTTCCGGGATCGATTTATCGCGTCTAGACAAGACGCAATAATTGACCCCAGAAGATCGATTGCTTGCCGCCGAACCAGGGGGTAAGTATAGACGTACCCTTAGACGAGCTAGCTCAATCTAACATCACACCTTTAAATCCTAGTCTAGAGAAGGCCGACAAAACAGGGAGAAGGAAGTGGAGAGACGTTGATTTGCCTACAGTCCCTGCATTGTATCAAGTAATTCCCTGAAGTTCTGGGCTCAGATTATTTTTATTTCCGGACTGCTTCCACGTCTTTGATAGTGACTGGCTGAAATGCATCAGAATAGTAAGTAGTATTTATACAGTTTTACAAACATTGGCTGGTTAATCTTCGTGACAGAGAGCATGGTAGATACTTAAATTTTATATACAAGACAGACAGAGATAGAGGGACTTGCCCAAGGCCCCCACACTCCTTCCTAGTCTTTAAAAGCAAAATTCTGAAAACCAGTGAATAATGAGATGGTGTTGATCACTCACCCAATGGACCTTATTTTGTACCTCATTCGGTCAATGTAAAGCACTTTCACCTCCTGCAAGGAAAAAAGAAACAGGGGGGAAAGTTGCCATTAAGAGGACTTCTCATAATGATTTATACCACCAGATGAAGACTCCCAGTGAACATGCCCCCATACAAAGCCAATATTCACATCATCATCAGAACCTAAAGCCAACATTTGAGCAGCCTCAGAGAGACACACTGGTGTTCAGAATTCAGATGTACATAGAACAGTTATTACAGTAGAATGGCACCTATTCATTAGCATTTATAACAGCTAAACTAAGAGTATATTCCTTGCCTCTCCCTATCCTTGTGTCTACAATCCTCCTATGTGTTGGTGGGTCTAAGTGGTTTGTTGGTTCCACCTTTATTGCCCCAGATACTGCTGTACATAGGGCAGGTGTTGGTAGGGAATATTCCTGTCCTGTAAGATGGAAGAGACTTACCCTGGGTATGAAGAACTGGTCAGCACTGAATTTATACAGCCACTCATTCAAGAAGTTATAGAGAAGAGAAAGGAGGTCATGTCCTGCAGGATAGAAGCAGAGAGAGAAAGTGACTCAACTGGGAGCCCGGTCAAGAACTTCCCAAACATTCTTTTAGTCCATATCAAAGGGGCAGTTTCCTGATAAAGTACTAGAAGATTCAGATTACCTGTGTATAAATCTGGATTTAATAAATCTGTACCAGTACTACATCTAAGGAGCCAACTGAGATTGGCTCCTTAGATGTAGTACTGACCTTTTAATTTCAATGCACTTCTCTTTCAACGAGTTAATACAATAGGTCCACTGCCTTCTTACCTTCTGCCTCCACTTCTACAGTATCCAAGGGTTCAACAGTCTCTGTATCCGTCATGTAGCCAAACATGGCCATAGCACATTGCTCAAATGTCTCTTCCAAAGTATCTCCCCAGGCATGTAACCTACAGACATCAGCATTACTCCATCATACAACAGTAACAAAGAAAGTGGGGGGGATGCAGATGAAAGATTGGGGTGCTAGTAGAAGTGGGAAAGGAAGTGAATGCCGAGAAGTGCAGACCTGCCATTACCCAAGATTAGGGAAGCACTGCTTAAAAATTGCAAGAGGAAAGGGGCTTCCTTTTGGCGGGACAGTGGGAAAGTAGTAAATATTTTATTAAAAGTAGTGATGTTCTTCCTAAATATGGACAGTTGGCATGCATGGAAATAGACCACTTGGAAATAAGAGGTAGCATGAAAATTTGAGTTTGAAGAGAAGAGACAAAGAGCTGAAGAATTAAAACACCTCCATGTAGCTTAGACTTATTTCAGGAGCACTCTAGGCATACCTCTGTGACATTCTGTACCTTGGTGGAGCACACTGTAACCCCCCCATACTCATCTGTATAGAATTGTGATATTACATATAAAGCATGCCTTGTAAGGTACCAGGGGAAAGGTTATCTGCTGAAAGTCATTTCTCTATCCATATAGAGACATTCCCCGGGTTACACAAACCTGACTTACGGAAATCCACATATGGAATTTTTTCCGTAAGTTTTTTTGTTTTTTGGCGCATGTAATTGTCGGAGATACGTTCCCAACTTACACAAAGAGTTCCAGAACAGAATGCTTGCGTAAGTTGGGGAACGTCTGTATGTATATCATTAATGTATGTGAAGTTATGAGAATTGTGTAGTATGGTTGTCACTAAAACATGCTGTAAGTTAGGGAATCAGCAGATATTAGCTCCCCAGAGGCAACAGCAAGGAAAGTAACCAACACCCGGGCAGGGTGTCAAACAACCCATCAACAACCATTGTCTAGCAAGGGCACTACAATTCAATGATTCACTTGCATGAGGCCATACCAAGGGAATTGCTCAACCTTTCCTGGAGACTCAGCAATGCCCTGAGACATTCCTGGACGTGTGTTCTACAAGCAGGGTATAAAACTGAACACAGGGGCCCAGGCTTGGCCTTTCTCCTTCACCCACCTACACTGCAAGCAACAAGGACACTCTGAAGACTCCCACTGAGGGGACTGGCCCAGATGTCTAGGGTGAAATCTGTGTACTATGAACTGCAATATCCAGTGGAGTGAGAAAAACTGCTTAATCTAGTTGTTGCCCAGTCTAATAGTGTTGAGAGTTAAGACTGCAGGCTTATATTTTATTTCTGTTGGTAACTAACTGACTTTTTGCCTATCGCTTAAAAAAAAAAAA